ATCACAGTTCCCTGTTCGGCTTCAACCAACATGTTCATCTCTTGCTTTCACACATCCTGAATAAGAAGAGTATAAAACTCGGCTACATACTTATACACACTAGTTCCTGTAAAAAGTACCCTATAAACCTTTATCAAAACCTATATTCAGTTCACTGTGGTGATAAGCAGTTTCAACTTTATATTGAACCTTGATGCAAACACTATGACCCTCAAATTACTCTTTTGATATGAGAAGAGATGATCTTTATGTGCCTCCGACTATCTGCTACTGCTCCCTTCTTTAAAGGGAAGCGGAGAGCATGACCAATAGTGGTGTCCAAGAATTTCTCAAATGCATGGGAAGTTATAGTGTCTGATTCCCAACAAAATCACCTGCTTCCACAGTCTCAATGCGTCAACTTGACATGTTGGTTTCTGAGGTCACAGAGAGTTATATAGGTGGTTTCTGTAATTCAGAAATCTTAAAGAATGATATTTAATTTGATGACGAAAGTAAACAACATGTTAAAAAAGAACACAATTCAAATATACACGATCAATCAACAAATCACACTAACAAAAAGAAAGAAAAAATACAAGATATGTTTTTGGTTCAAAGTTAGTTATAGTGTCTGATTCCCAAAATTTCCAAAATCATCTGCTTTCACAATCTCAATGCGTCTACATGACAATTGACATGTTGCATTAATTTTTAGGTCATACAGCAATTTGATCTAGATTGTTTCTGTAATTCAAAATCTTAAAAGAGTTATTGTATTATGATGACAAAATTAAACAACAGTTTAAAAAGAATACAATCCAAATTCCAAATATACAAAATCAATCAACAAATCACTCTTAACAAAGGAAAAAATACAAGATATGTTTCTGGTTCACAGTATCACCAGCCATCACATTATCACCTCCTCTTGTTCTTGCTCCCAAACAACAAACACAAGTAAAACAAAACCCTAAAAAAGAACCCAAACCCTACCGTGACGAGCAAGCAACTCCATTTACTAAGCTCCGTAACTCCCTGCTGCTTCAGAATATCAGCCCCAGTCGTAAGACACGTCGAACTCGTTATCCTCATCCCAATAGATCTGCTCACAGAATCCAAAAGCCTCAGTTTCATCCCATAACTCAACTGTCCCAAAGGCGTGTTATCAAAGATCTGAACACCTCTCACAAAACACTCCATAGGATCCGAGAACTCGTTCTGAAGAACCGCCTCGTACGGGTACTTAACCAGAGAAAGGTAATGAAACCATAACCAGTACTGAGGGATACGGTCTCTGTTGATGAAGAATCCACTAAAGAGCAAGAAGTAAGCTAAAATAGCTACAACTATAGTGTAACCCAACATAACATGCGGAACGACGCCGGATAAGAAAGTCACGAACGAGCTTCCGGCCCAGAACGAGGCGAAGATGATGAGGCAATAAAACAGAAAGCCCATTGGGCCTCCTTCGAGACCAACAGCCCAAAACGTCGTCGCTGCGAAGGCCAATGAGAGGAAGATTAGCGAAGGCAAAGAGACGACGGCGTGTGAGAGGACGTAGGAGGATCTCCGGTACGCGTTGTAAGCGGTTTCTCTCATGAAGATGTAACGCTCCTGGAGGAAGACGGGGAGAGCGTCGGCGCAAGTGTAGAACATCGTCGACATCGCGAACGCGAAGAAACCTAACCGCTCCTGAACGCCTTTCGGAGAGTTGTCTAACCGCCAGAACACGGTTGCGAGGATGAATCCGGTGACGAGTACGGTGGCTAATCTGGTTCCGAATAGCTCCGGTTGACGCCGGGAGTTTAGGATCGAGCGTTCGGTTAGAGTTTTGATCTCGATCCAGAACGGATTCGCGAATCCGCCGTGGCTCACGACGGATGATCCACCACCACCGCCGCCGCCGCCGCCGCCGCCGGAGACTAGCTTCCCTCTGCTTATGCTCGCGGAGATCGCTTCTTTGAGAGTGAGATTCGGATTCGGAGAAGACGGAGGAGATCGTTTCTTCATCTCTTGCCATCTCTCGTTGAACTCGACGAGTCCTCGCGTTCCTCCGGCGGATCCTTCGAGCTCTCTGATCAGATCCAACGCGAACTCGGTTCGATTCTCGTTCTCCGGTATCGGATTACCAAAACCGGTAAAAAAACCGGTTAAACTCGCTGGAGAACCGCTGAAAACCGTTTTGCCACGTGACAAAAAGATTAGCCGGTTAAGCAAACCGAGAACTCGGTGACTAGGCTGATGTATCGACATAATTACGATACTGCCACTCTCGGCTATCTTCTTCAACACGTTAACAACCATGAACGCGCTCGTCGAGTCCAAACCCGAAGTAGGCTCGTCGAGGAAGAGAACAATCGGGTCGTGGATGATATCAATCCCGATCGAGACTCTCCGTCTCTCTCCACCGGAGATTCCACGGTGTCCTTCGTCTCCGATGATCGTCTTCGCCGCGTTCTTGATACCTAACTGCTCGATTAGGGTTTGGACTCTGAGCTTCTTCTTGGACTTTGGTAACGTTCTTGGCAAGCGAAACTCCGCGGCGAACATTAGGGTTTCTTCAACGGTGAGCATAGGGAAGAGGAGGTCGTCTTGCATTACGTACGCTGAGATGACTTTTAGGGTTCGGGACTGGAGAGGCTCTCCGTTGAGAGTTACCTTGCCTTTCAAGCTCCCTTTGGCGATACGGTTCGCTAACGCGTCGATTAGAGTTGATTTACCTGATCCGCTGGCTCCAAGAACGGCGAGGATCTCTCCGTCGTGGGCCTCGCCGGAGATGTTGTCGAGAAGGGTCTTGGTCTTGGAGGAAGATGGGGTTCGACGTGGGATTAGGTTGAACTTCTTGGGGAGGGGGACGGTGTAGGTGAGGTTGTTGAAAGATAGGACGAAGGGGACAGGACGCATGAGGTTATCGTAATCTTGGTCGCCTTGAGAACTGTGGAGAGGAGACGGAGTCTCGTCGCCGTGGTCTACTTTTCTTACGTCGCTTACGTTCTTGAGAAGTTGACCTAAAGTCAACGAGGACGAACTCATCTCCATGGAATGATACGGCGTCGCGTTATCGACGGAGTGATCTTCTGCGAGAATGGGAGACATGGAGATGTTGAAGTGAGAGAAGATTTTTGCGTTTTAAACTCTGTATCTCGATCTCTCTTTTATAGTCTATGTATAATACGAAGTAACGTGTGTATGCCTTGTGTTGTTGACTATAGTATTTTTTTGGTGTTTGGATGGGAAATGCGTTTTGGATTGTTTCGTATTTTAATTGAGTTTTAGTTAATAAGGTGGGAGGGAATGTGGATGAAGATGACCTATAAATCTAGAATTCATAATACAAAACAAAATATGTTGATATGGTGGAGACTTGGCGATTAGGTGTGTGTGTTAGTTATTGTATGGAGAGTTAGGTGAAGGGTGTTGATCTAATTTAACGAGGTATAGGATTGTGAAGAGAACTTTCTTTGCGTTTCACATTAATGTTTTGGTCAAATTGTTACTATTTGTTTTATTAATCAACTCTTCAGATGTTGGTAGCGAAACAAAAGTGTGTAGTGGTTATTTTGTATCGCTATAAACGCAGCCCCAAAATAAAGACAACTAATTTACTCTGCAAAATACAATAAAATGATGATGTCATTGCAGCCTTGCAGGCATTTACTTTACGTTTTGAACTGCTTGAAGAATATTTGATTCTGGTTGTTTCTAGTCTTTGAAAAGTTTGTGTATATTTCATACGTATTTTTTTAGTTTTTTAAACGTAATTTATTTTTATTGGCTTAACGTACGTAGCTAGCTAGTGTCACAACACTTTGCGAAGATTAGAGTTAGGCATTAATTTTGCGCTAATTTCACTGTTAGATGCATGTTATTTCTCAAAAAGTTTGGGAAAGAAAGACTACTACACAAAATGTCAAACTTACTTTCTGTTTCCTTGAATAATAGTTGGTATAACGGTGGAACCTTCTTTACCAAACTTAATATATTTTGGGAAGTTTGTATATAGTTTCTTTTCCTCGTTAGAAATAAATGGTAGTATCGTTAAAGAGTAACGTTTTTTTTCTCTTCGTTAAGAGTAACGTTGTCTTGTTCACAATTCACATTAGACGTCACTTACACGAACCAACGAACGACGATTTCAAGAGTTGATGTGCCGAGATGGAAAAGAAAAGAAAATAACACCATAATATTGTTCCAATTAAATTAAATGGAATTGTTACTTTCTAAACGTATACGTGTTCTTACTATGATATATAAATCCATGAAAGTTTTTCTCACCAGAAAAAATAATTCATTGCACTAATGAGAATCAAATTAGGTAATGTCTTCCGTGAAGCAAGCAAACTAGAGGTGAACAAAACTGTAGTTGAAATTTTTTGTAGCTTTATATATGTGATCTTGGTAGATTTCTCAATATTTCCAATTGAGATTGACCATTGAACCATCCAAAACCACTTGAAAGAAGAAACTTTCAATATATTCCATCCTTGATCGAAACCCTAGTGATGTAGTGGTTAACATGAACACACATTAAGGACGCAATTTTTACTTGTGTTACATTTGTTTGTTGACTTTTAGGGTTTAGGTGACTAACTTCTACCTACTAAAATCTTCCTTGCCGCCACAAGCAAAGGGTGCAAGAATGGTGTCATCCCATGCATCTTTAAGAAAGTTGGCTACTTTGATTTCTATTCCGAGCAACTTATTTGTTTATTTGCTTTTGTTTCTTGAAAAGTAAATATAGCATAGAAACGGTAGGCTATTTCAAATTTTGTTAAAAACACATATTCACACCAACCATGTAAAAAAGGATAAGTGTGTTAGCATTCTTGGGAGGAACGTTAACTGATTTTGAATGGAAAACTTCAAGGCTACTAGATTGCCATATACCTAACACACATAAAAAGGTATAAGATTTATACATATATATCACTAATAATTCAAGATTCAAGAAAAGGGATTGCTTCCACAATAAAACGTATGCTTCAGAAATTTCACACTTTTGCTTCCAAAAATGCCTTTCACGCCCTCTTATTCTTGCTTCCAAATGACAACGACAAATAAAACAAGATCCTAAAAAAGAATCCCCAAGCTAACGTAACCCACAAGCAACCCCATTTATCCAACTGCTCAATACCGTGTTGCTTAAGCAACTCAGAGCCTGTCCTCAAACACGTTGATTCATCTAACTCCATCCCTAAAAAACTTCCCATCATCTCCAAAAGCTTCACCTTCGAATCTTCAGGCACTCCTTCCATGAACGTATTATCAAAAACTTGGTTCCCTCTCACAAAACAACGAGAGGGATCATCAAACTCATTGTGTAGAACAGCTTCATAAGGATACTTTAGAAGAGAAATGTAATGAATCCATATCCAATAAAGATGGATCCTATCTCTGTTGATGTAGAACCCACTGAAGAGAAGACAGTAAGAGAGATAACCAAACGTGACCATGTAACTCATCATCACATTAGGTATCACCCCAGAGACAAATGTAACAAAAGAACATCCTGACCAGAAAGATGCAAATATTATGAGAAGATAGTAGATGAAACCAGCTAAACCGCCGTTTAGACCAACGAACCAGAACGTGGTGGCTGCAAAACCAATGGAGAGTGCGAAGAGATGAGGCAGAGTCACTAGAGAGTGAGATATAACATAAGAGGATCTTCGGTAAGCGTTGTGTGCAGTTTCTCTCATGAAAATGTATCTTTCTTGGATGAAAGCTGGTAGTCCATCAGCGCAACTATAGAACATTGTAGCCATTGCAAATGAGAAGAAGCTTAGCCTCTCTTGGACACCTCTTGGTGAGTCATCTACTCTCCAGTAAACCGTAGCCAAGAGAAAACCAGTCATCATGACTATGAACACCCGTGTACCGATAAGCTCAGGTGTTCTAGTCCAGTTTATCATGTAACGTTTAGCTAAGATAAGGGTTTCGACCCACCATGGGTTTACGTATGAAGTTATTGAGTTATATGAAGTTGTGACAAGCTTGCCTCTAGTAATGCTTGCATTGATGGTTTCTCTCAGGGATGGTGAGTTGTGGTGAGGCTCTTGGATAGCTCTAAGCTTCTTTTCTTGCCAATTTCGGTTGAATTCTACTAACCTTCTGGCTCCTTCAGAGGTTCCTTCAAGGTCTTTGATTAGGTCTAGTATGAACTCAGCATTGTTCTCTTTATCCGGTATGGGACTACCAAACTCCGAGAAGAACAAGGGGAGAGTAACAGGAGAGTCACTGAACACACACTGGCCGGAAGATAAGACAAGGAGCCGATCAAGAAGCTCCATAATCCGACAACTAGGCTGATGAATTGACATAACTACAATGCTTCCACTACACGCAATCTTTTTCAAGACTTGCACCACCATGAAAGCACTAGTTGAGTCTAGTCCTGACGTTGGTTCGTCGAGGAACAACACGATAGGGTCGTGAATGATGTCGGTGCCAATCGATACACGCCTCCTCTCTCCACCAGAGACGCCACGATGGCCTTCATCTCCGATCATAGTGTTTTTAACAGTTCTTAGCCCTAACTGGTCGATTAGGGTTTCAACTCTGTCTCTCTTCTTAGATTTAGGTAGGCTTCTTGGAAGGCGAAACTCGGCGGCAAACATTAGGGTTTCTTGGACGGTGAGCATAGGGAAAAGGAGATCGTCTTGCATCACATAAGCAGATATAACTTGTAACACACGTGACTGCAAAGCTTCACCGTTTAGAGTTACCGTGCCTTTCAAGCTACCTTCTGAGATCCGTCCAGCCAATGCATCGATAAGGGTTGATTTTCCAGAGCCGCTTGCTCCAAGAATGGCTAAGATCTCTCCTTCTTTGGTCTCTCCGGTGATACCGTTGAGCAGAGTCTTTACTTGAGAAGGGCTACGTCGAGAACGAAGACCAAAACGCCGTTTAAGTGTGACGTTATAGGTGAGGTCATTGAAGGCAAGGACTAACGGAATGGGCCTTGTCTCAGGTGGATCAACATTGATTACTGCGTCTCGTTGCAGCATTTCGTTAGAAGCTCAACACGAGGAGCTGTGTTCTTGTTGTACTCAGCTAGGACATGATAAAAAAATATTTTTAGTCAAAATTTAAAAGGTAATAATTGGATTATGTTTTCCATTTCTGTTGTATTATTAGCTTTATTTCATATTTTAGTTAGATTAATCTTGCATATAGTGAATATTCATTAATAATCAAGTTTTTTTTTTTTCCATCTGACTGTTTTAATTAATAACAAAAACCTAATTTTCCACAATCAACTTTACGAGAATTCATAGTTACTGAAAAAACACACATGAAATAGAAAATATAGAAATTTACCTAAGGAAGTTAGAAGACCATTGTCCTTGTGGCAAGCAAAAATGAAATGATGGAAACGGTAAATTCTAATGTGCCGCGCTCGAGAGACAACGGTTAATTGAAGAAGTTGTGAAAAAAAATTGAGAAGTATATGGAGCTTGGTTGTGTAGTTGTACATTCTATGTGAATTAGATTACTTTATATACACCCGGAGAATAAGAGGTTTCGTGACGTATTAAAAGGAGTCCCTCAAAAATGTAATTTGCATTTTGTGTGTTGTGTAGACGCACACACACACAGTTCCTGTTTTTTCATGGCTTTGTCCTCTTACATCACATGCTTGGACATTTTACCGATGTCGTACTAACATTAAGAAACACACAATTTTAGTATTTGTGACCCTTCTCTTTTGCCTTTTTTTTCACGGCGTAATTCATATATAGGACAACCTGAACCGGCCATGACTAAAAAGCACATTAAGCATGTGCTTCTAGTTTTTAAAGTATTGATTTATTTTGGGGGCATCCTTTATATGAAAAGTAGGATTTATACTCTAGATACAAACATAAAATGAATAGAAAACTGATTTGGCATTCTTAAATTATATTTTCTTCAGGAAATTCTCATCCTTAGCTAGCAACAGTTTTTAATCTAAACTCATTAGAATCCACCACGATGTTGCCTTTTCATTATATTTTTCAAAAGTATATATACTACTGAATTTAGGTTCCATTTTGGAAATCTTTTTTAGTTACCATGAAAGTTCTGGACGACCTATAATCTTTCAGCTGTCCAACATCAGTATTTAGAAATTCCAACTGTTTTTAAAAAAAAAAAAAAAATCCTTCGTATCAAGGATAGTTTGAACCCAAATCACAAAGAAACCAACCCCACTACCACTAGACCACTGACACATTGGTCCATTGTGAAAATTCTTGTGGTTTGAAAATAAAATTTAAAAGAGGTTGGTGAGCATTGAACCAGTAAGAGAAGACCACAAAAAAAAAAAATTGATTCGATCTCCTGTGATAATTTGTACTTTTTTGGCGCTGTAATTTTGTTTTATATTTGCCTTTGAATAAATGCCAAAAAGGTCATTACGTAGATTCGATCTTTTTTATCTGAACCACACAGCAGATACAGATGTCTAGGAGAGAAGAACATGATATAGAGAAAATATACGTGAGCCAATGAAATAGCCACGCTGGCTCTCACTAGCCAATCGCATTCTGACTATAGATTCGCATCCTACACAATCTTGCTTAAAGCAACTCCAATAGAATTTTCTCATAAATAAATTAAAACTAAGGGGTTGATTGGTAGTTGCTGTCCACAGCCTTATTTATTTATACAGCACTAAATTCAGAGCAATCAAACTTTAATTTTTTTTTTGAAACCACAGCTATACAAGTGCTCTGCAGAACCAAATATCCAAAGCAATTTTTAATGCTTTCCAAAAAATCTACAGTAATAAAATCTAAAGCCTCAGTAAAAAGTCTTCAGATTTTTTTCTACTGCAAATCTTTAAAGTTACATCCATTACCAGTCGGACCCTAATTTCTTAGATCTAGGTTTTTAGTTTTTTTTTTATGATTTAAAATAATAATAATAATAATAATTGAACCAATTGCGGACCGTCACTGGGACCGTGAATAGTACACAAATCTAACTAAACTCACCTCTTACTGAAGAAATAAAAGGGGCAACTCTTAATATTATAGTGGGACCCATTTATTTTTAAATTAATTTTTAAGAGGTTGCCACAAGAATTGCGTTAATGATAGTCTAAGAGCAACATTATCGAAGGGTTTTGGTTTGGTCCCTAAGGGGAATGGACCCACAAAAACACCAAAACTGAGGGGAGAAATCGCTAAATAAGAGGCATTTTGGTTTAGTCCTTGTACTGTTCGCGGGTCCCACTGACATGTGGCGGCCCGTGATTGGTTTGTTTTTTACTTTTTTTTAATCTCACAAAAAAGAATTAAGAACCCCTACATATATAATGTTAAGAGCACAATTAACCATGGTTCTTATCCATAGATCTTAAAATTGTACGGGTCCTACTCATGTGTTAAGAGTTGCCATTTCCTCCTCTTCTATAAGGGGCGATCTTAACATGGTTCTTGGACTATTCGTGGGTTCCACCGACACGTGGCGTCTCGCGATTGGTTCTCTGTTTTTATTTTTATTATTTTTTCAGACAACTTTTTTTTTTAAATCATGTGCCAAGAATTTTAAGGGTTAATTATGCTCTTAGACCATTCGGAGTGAGTGTTTTCCACTTAATAATAAAATAGGTTGAAAAATGAAAAACCAGTTGAGAGAGATGAGAGAGGAGGGAGACTATGATTGTTCACAGATGTTCAACATTTAATAGTCAATTTATCTAAAAGGCAAAAGAAAAAAATAATTATGTGATTAAGAGAATGTTTATTGCAAGGTTCTTAAAATACGGGTTCTTAACGGAATTAAGAAATCGTCTCTTAATTTTCAATTAAAAAAAAAATAAGAAACGACTCTTAAATAAGATCTTTAAAAACCGATTCTTAGCTTTTTTAATTGAAAGTTAAGAGACGATTTTTTAATTCCGCTAAAAAATTATACTTTAAGAACCTTGCAATAAACATGCTCTAAAAGCACTATCTCCCGCTGCTTGTAATTATGTGATTAAAAACTATTCTAGACATTTTCTTTTACATTTGAATGATGACAAAATATAATGTTTGTAAATTGAAAAAAGTAGACTGGAACAAACTGGATGTCTCGAAATTTATATTGCGCTGAGAAAACATGAGGTCCAGTAAACAAGTCAGCCAATTACAGACATGTTCAAATATGAAGTGTTCTGATCAGAACATACAAAACCCAACACTAATCTCTGCGTACGAGATGTAAGTTTAGACGTAGAGACATTAAAAATGGATAGACACTATATGGTACGCGCTAAAATTTGAGAGTTTAACTATGTGTTGAATGAAAACTGGAGTGACCGGATGATTGTGGTCGAGTGGTAAGGAGACGAGACTGAGACACCAACATGTTTCAGGTTCGATCTACCTGCTGCGCGAAATTAAGTCACAATTATCCTGGTCACCTAACACGGATATGAGCCTATGCTTTAGAGCCCATTTGAATACCCGGAGAGAAGGTCTATCCGTGAGCTGCACCTCCCCTTGGGGATTAGTCTGGGCTTCTCCATGGGCCTAGGATACCCCCAGGTTAATCAAAAAAAAAAAAAATCAACAACTATAGGTTTTAATATGGCCAATTCTCCATGATTGAAATTGAAAGATATTAATATATAGGTTTGATAAATTTCCCAAAATGATACAAATATGAACAACTATAAATGTAACAGTTTGATACAAATCAACAACAACGAAAAGACTAGGAAACTTCACGCTTCACTTAAATAAGTAAATATTAAGGGTAGATAGAGAAAGATGGAGGCCAACAGAAGTATGATTTGTGCTTGTTGACTTCATTTACGTCCTCTTATTCTTGCTTCCAAACAACAAAGACAAGTAAAACAAGATTCTAAAGAAGATACCGCAAGCAAACGTAATCCACAAGCAATCCCATTTGCTCAACTGAGATATACCTTGCTGCAAAAGCAAGTCAGGCCCTGTTCTCAAGCATGTGGACTCCGTTATCTTCGTTCCTAGAGAGATACCCAGTGTATCAAAAAACTTAACCTTTATCGCATCAGGCACTTTGGCGAAAAGCGTACCATCAAATACTTGAACTCCTCTTACAAAACACCGAGATGGGTCATCAAACTCATTAATCAATACAGCTTCATAAGGATACTTAACCAACGAAATGTAATGAAACCAAATCCAGTAACTCGGTATCCGATCACGGTTAATGAAGAATCCACTCATCAGTAGACAGTAGGAAAGATAAGCAATAGTGACCATGAAACTTATCATGACACTCGGAATAAGACCGGATATGAATGTAACGAAAGAGGAACCAGACCAAAACGCTGCGTAGATGATGAGGCAGTAAAAGAAGAAGCTCTCAAACCCGCCGCTTAAACCAACTGTCCAGAACGTGGTCGCAGCAAATGCAATGGAGAGAGCTAGTAGCTGAGGTAGAGACACAAGAGCGTGAGAGATGACATATGAATATGTTCTGTATGCATTGTGCGTTGTCTCTCTCAAGAAAATGTAACGTTCTTGGATAAAGACAGGGATGTTGTCTGCACAAGTGTAGAACATTGTGGACATAGCGAATGCAATGAAAGACATTCTCTCTTGTGCACCTCGTGGAGTGTTGTCTAGCCTCCAGTATATAGTTGCTAAGATAAGACCAGTCACCATGACGGTAGCGATCCTTGTTACTATGAGCTCGGGGGTACGTGACCAGTTTTTCATGTAACGTTTGGATAATATATATGTCTCGACCAATGGCGTGTTTGCGTATGATACTGTCTCCATGGAGATGGAGTTGGAGCTAGTCGAGCCGGAGACTAGTTTGCCTCTTGAGACACTTGTAATGATGGATTCTTTTAGAGACAAGGCTTTGTAAGGAGTGGTCATTGACGTGGATGACACTTCTCGTTGCCATTTCTCGTTGAACTCAACTAACTCTTTGGTTCCTTTGGTGGATCCCTCAAGTTGTCGGATTAGGTCAAGTGCGAACTCTGTGATGTTCTCTTTCTCCGACATTGGATGTCCGAAATCAGACAAGAACTGAGGAAGACTTGTCGGAGATCCACTGAACACACTCATGCCGCGAGATAAGATGATAAGACGATCAAGCAAGTCTATGATACGAGCACTAGGTTGATGTATCGACATAATTACCATACTGCCACTACGAGCGATACGTTTGAGAACTTGCACCACCATAAAGGCATTTGTGGAGTCCAGCCCCGAAGTAGGTTCGTCGAGGAACAACACGATAGGGTCGTGGATGATGTCGATACCGATCGACACGCGTCGCCTCTCTCCACCGGAAACACCACGGTGTCCTTCGTCTCCTATTATCGTATCCGCCGCGTTTCTGAGCCCTAATTGGTCTATTAGGGCTTGAACACGTTCCATTTTCTTGGACTTGGAGAAGCTTCTCGGGAGACGAAACTCAGAAGCAAACATAAGTGTTTCTTTAACTGTCAGCATGGGAAACAAGAGATCGTCTTGCATGACGTATGCTGATATCACTTTTAGGAGTTGAGTTTGCAAAACTTTCTCTCCGTTTAGAGTTACCGTGCCTCTCAAGCTACTCACTCTCCCCCCAAGCGCGTCGATCAGCGTGGACTTTCCGGCTCCGCTTGCACCGAGAACGGCTAGGATTTCGCCGTCGCGAACCTCGCCGGAAACATCGTTGAGTAGAGTTTTCACGGAAGCTGCCTTTCCCCGGACATCGTAGGTGAGATTGTTGAAGGATAAGAGAAACGGCACAGGTCTTGTTTCAGGAGAAGCGAAATCCAATATGTGATGAATAGAAGCTTCTTCGACGGAGTCTTTCTTCCTGTGACCGTCTTCGAGATCTCTCAGTAGTTCGCCGAGCGTCGGTGACTCGTTGCCGCCGTCAAAAGAGATTTCTTGGGATTCCGCTGCAACACGTGGCATCTTCACAGCGAATCTTACGGTGGTTAACGGCGACTTCTTGGAGATGAAGCTAGCCTCAGTATCACTGTGCATGAATCGTAAATATTATATATTTTTTTATAAAGTAACATGCATTAGAGATCTAGATTGGTCTTGTTGTGTTCATTGTTTTAGTCTCAGTGAAAAAGATCGATTCAAGGGAGATTAGCTTAAGGTATAATAAACTACTTATTAATCAAAAAAGAATACTATTCTATTTTCTGTAGAAAAAATCAAATTAGTTACTTAAAATTATATTTTAAATTTACAAATAAGTTATATATATAGAAACATTAAAGTCATACCCATATACTGCTATACATATTTGTGATTATTTTATAACTGGACAAGATTGATATTTTAGTTTACTAAAGTATTGTAAAGAATAAAGATTATGAACAATATATAAAAGAAGAGAAAGTAGAACTAGTTTTTACTAAACTTATGAAATGGTGAACTTACGTGTTAAATATTCAGTTATCTTCTCTCCGGAGCTAAAAACATATCTGCAGTTCAGTTTTTGTTTGGTAGGGGTATGATCACAGAGAGCTCTATGTTTCTCTTATATAAACGGAATAAAAAAAATCATTTCTGAGTTTTTGAAATTTAAATTAAATAATCCAAAGAAGAAATAAGAAAGGTGTCTCTTTAATTAGTAGCTAGATCATGATACATGTGACATTTTATTTTAAATTGATTAAATAAATTTATAAATTAATTAAATGTTGTTTAATGTTAAGAAAAATTTAATTGAATTTAAACGTAATAGAAAACTCATATTTGAATTTTTAAAATTAAAATTAAATAAAGTAAAGAAGAAATAAGTAACGAGTCTCTTTAATTAATCAGAAACTCTACAGAAAAGATTCGTGATTACTGATATCCTAAATAAATAACGGAAATAGTTGACAAAAAATAATAAATAATGAAATGATGAAATCAAAGAATAATAATTTGGCGACAAATGTGGATTGCAAAACGTGACGAATCAATTTTTAGTAAATTAAAACATCAACGAGCAAGTGTTGTCTTGTTTGTTTATGGGTTTTCGTTTTCTATGATGTAACTGTCTTTTAAGACGAGTAACGTTTCATATTTTTTTGTCAACAAAACGAGTAACGTTTATCTACAAAGTTTATAAAGGTGGCCGATTTTTAAAAATTTGCCGATGAAAATCAGAGAGGTTCGTAACTCTATTAGAGTGGCTGTTGCAGATTGTGGTTTCAAATAACTTTGTAACCAAACTTTCATTTTGATTAATGATATTTACCATTTAGCAAAAAAAAAAAAAACTCTACTAGAGAGGTTACGATAGAGATTGAGAAACAAGATGGATCTATAGCAGATAATCAAAAAAAATATAAAACTCGAGGTTGTTAATCATTTTAACAGTTTTATGACTTACACCAGATTCTTATAAAGGGTATTTCAGATGTAGAGGTTGCAGAGATTATAGGGTTTCAGAGTTTTAAATGGCCAGAAGCAAAATAAAATAAAAGGGTCAAATTAAGAATCAAACCTAAGAGCTTTTGGCATTATTATTGATGTAAAAACCACTACACTAGGAACAATTTACTAAACAAAAGGCCGAAATCTATTAATAAAATTTGAGGATCAGAAGCTAACGCTTCCATAGCTTCTCCTCAGGGCCGTCACTGTTTCAGTGTGAAGAAATGGATAAATTGCAATTGATGGCCGATGTATCTGATGAAGAGATTAAGGGTGTGACTGGTAACATATGGCGTAAATGAGAGTAATAAAATATCAAAATCGAGAGTAACAAAAGATGAGAGAGAATGAATAGTAAGAAGTGAAACAAAAAAGTAATTTGCACTCATCAAAACAAGAGAGATAATTTATGTATATTCTAGCGTAACTAAGAGGAATAATTATTTAACATTTTTCATCCTGACTGGATGCAAATAGGTGGAACTCAGCGTGAAAAAAATTCACTCTACTTTTTATTACTCTAACAATACCATCCAGTCATACTCTAAGGTGTTATTTGGTATGCAGGGGAAAAACCACAAGCACTCAGTTGGATTTACTTGTGAATTTTATAGATCAGTTTGGAGTGTGATTGGAAAAGATTTTGTGGTGGCTGTCAAGTTATTTTTGACAAAGGGTTCTTACCGATGGGTATAAACTCCACTATTCTAGCTCTTATTCCCAAAAAGAATTATGCAAAGTGAAAAATGAATACAATTTTATATCATGCTGCAACATTATTTATAAGGTAATTTCCAAGCTGTTGGCCAATAGGTTAAAGAGAATCCTCCCAAAGTTTATCTCCACAAACTAGTAAGTGTTTGTTAAGGATCGTCTCCTAATGAAAAAATTCTTCTTGCTTCTGAGTTGGTAAAGAGCTATCATAAGGATTCGGTCTCTTTAAGATGTGCGGCAAAGATCGATATTTCAAAGGTTTTCGACTCAGTTCAGTGGCCTTTTTACTCTTGTTCCTCTCGGCAATAATACTCCTTGAAATGTGGATAAAAAAATGCATTGAGTTTTCCTCATTCTCAGTTTAGATAAATGGAGAACTTACTGATACTTCAAGAGTACAAGAGGGATTAGACAAGGGTGCTTTATATGGCCCTATCTCTTTGTTATAGTATGCAGTTTCTTTCCCCTATGCTAGATAAAGCCGCAATGGAGAAAAAGATGGGATATCACCCTTACTTCAAAGATCTTGGTATTACATGTCTATGTTACACGGATGATTTTATGGTGTTGTATGATGGAAAAAGAAGTTCTGTTGAGGGGATTCTTCAATTTGAGGATTATGCCGCATACTCGGAGCTCAATATCAATTCAGAAAAATTAAAGGGATGAGATTCAGACTAAGTTCATTCCTGAATCCGGCCTCCTCCCTGTCAAATATCTTGGACTCCCACGCATGAGTAAAATAATGTCGACTAGTGACTATAATCCCCTCATTGAAAGGATTAGGAAGCGCATTACATCTTGGACAACAAGAAATCCTTCTTCTGTTGGTCGATTACAACTAATTGTTTTGGTAATTCATAGTTTAACCAGCTTCTGGATGTCGGTATTCAGATTACCAAGTCAGTGTGTAAAGAAGATAGAAAAGTTATGTTCATCCTTCTTCTGGTCTGGTCTAGATCCCACATCACACGAGCAAAAATTTCTTGGAAAGATGTATGCAAACTAAAGGAAGAAGTTGGTTTGGGCCAGTGATCGCTTGCAGAGGTGAGCAAAGTGAGTTGGTTTTAAACTAATATTTGGAGAATATTATCTGCTCGGTCATCTATTTGGGTCCAATGGATTTACCGGTACCTTATTTGTAAAGGCTCATTTTGGAATATCAATGAAAAAAACTCGTTAGGGTCGTGGATATGGAAGAAACTCCGAAAATTTCGACATATAGCTGCAAACACAATGGACATGATTAATAGTGGGTCAACAACTTCATTTTGGTTTTATGAATGGTCTCCTTTGGGGAGAATCATTGCGTTAACTGGAGAGAGAGGTTGCATCGATTTGGGAATATCTATAAATGCATCAGTGGAGTTCGCAAGTCATATAATAAACGTCGACATAGAACATATAATCTGCTTATGATTGACACTGAAATCATCAAACAAAGGGAACATGGGTTAAATCAGCATGATGATGTTAGACTATGGAGATCTCGGGATGATGTGTCTGAACCAGTCTTCAATACTACTGAAACATGGCAACTGATGAGGGTAGTTTATCAGTTAGTCTCTTGGTAACATGGTATCTGGTTTACTGGCGTAACCCTTTTTGTCACAAAATATATATTATAAGTATGAAGGGCTAAACGATTTCATCAGGATCCATTTTCAATGGTAAAATGATAACAACTGTAGGTAATAGGTATATTCACGGTAAAATGGATTGATCAGTACAATTAAACATAAGATAGAAATATTAAAGGAAAAGACGTGTTACGTTCAAAGTAGAGAAACCCACATATATTCCTCACTTTTTTTCCTAAAACGCTTGTGTCAGCAAGCTAAACTTGAAATTGTC